CGATTATGAAAAGTTTCTTTGTGAATCTTAATAATTTGTCTTTGGGGGATGTTGGTATATCTTCTGAAAATTGTTTTTATTTTTCTGTCTATGAGCTGAGATTGAGTGAAGAACTTGGTTTAATTTTATTTTAGAAGTTCACCATTTTGACGAGGGGAATTGACTTACATTCAGAGGATATAAAATCAACTTTGAATCTAAGATCTGAGAGTTAGAATCTTTAAAGTAGCTCTGCCTAATATACTCCATTTTAAGCTACTCTATCCTCCTATTAAGAATCAAATTGCAACAAATATCTCAACAAAAGGCACAAAGGTGAAATTCAACAGATATTAAAGCCTCGACAATAACAAAAAAAAGAGCAACTTTTCATTCACAAAAATTGCTTTAAAATACTCTAAGTTATTTCCAACATCATTCACTTCTCAATTGATTTTTCATGACCTTACAGAAGCTATAAACTTTGTCAATATCAAGGCAAAGTTAGCAGTAATCTATGATAATCTATGTTCTCAATTCATGTCTAAGAGAATTGAATGGAAAGATTTATGATTTTCAATATTATTAAAAATCAATTCTTCATGCGAAAAAGTCTCTTTTGTTGTTCTTTACAAAAGATTTCCCGTCTAAGACAAGATAATAGAAAAGGATGTGGAAAATTACTTTTTGTATCTTTTGTTCTGTGCCTGCCTTTTGTAGATCGAATATTCGCTAAAATTTCGCGTTCACCCCATAATTTCATGTCATTTATCAAATTGAATCACTTCGCATTTATCTCCTTTTATGATTATTTTTCCATTTCTTTTTTGGATTGCTCCACTCAATGTGATAAAGATGAAGATTATGGTACTTAAACATGCTTCACAAAACTGATTTTTTCCTTTTCTTATTTTGACAAAGTCTTGTGTACGATGAAAAATTATAACCATTGTCTGCTATTTGCTTAGTTTTTTAAATCAGAATTGAATATGTTCATTTTGTTTTGTATGCAGTGGTGGAATTAGAGGATGCTTTAGAGTTGTTTAGCAATTGACATACCAAAGAGATTTAAACCTTCTCCAGATTAAACAATAACTTTGTGTTAATGACACAACCGGAAATGTTTGAATAACACACAAAATGTTTTTGCTTTTGAGGTTAGGTCTATGTAAAGCTTAAATGTCTCATTTCAGTATACACAATTACAATTTAGGTAAGTTTTGAATATAAAATTGAATAAAATGCAAACAAAAAAGAGGAAATTGAATGCTGTAAAATGCAAAAAGTTTGAATTGTATCTCTTGGGGAACTGATATTGCCTTCTGATTGCATCACTTTGTCTCTAGATTTGTTTAGCTTTTGGAATTAAGTAAATCAATATGAATTACATCCTTAAAACACAGAGAAATATTATTTTGAAGATGACTGCATTTAGATTTCTGTCTGTGTCAATTTTTGACAGACATCCATGCATTATGCTGCAGAATGCCACTTAGCGGATTTAAAGGTTAAGTTTCTCGAGTGTAATTTGTTCAAATTGCTATGTTTATTAATGAAAGAACACTGAAAAGCTAGTAATAATTTGCAAAACCTTTTACTTTGACACTATTTGACTAATCTGATGGCTCTATAAATTCAATGAAGTGACGTTGAAGGAAATATTGACTAATTCGGACTAGCTTGGGGTCTTAAAGGGACATATCGAAAATTAATGGGGTTTGAGGTTACTAAAACACTGAAAATTGTAAGCAAATATTCAATTCAGAAGGGATGGAATTCATAATGTTAATTTATCTCTCACATTAACTCTTTTGTTGAATATTCCAAAATCATGACACAACATAAATCAAACCCCAGACCACCAACTTCAAGATGAATGCTCTTTTTATGCAACTTATAAAATCAGACGTTTTTACTTGTTTTTTGTATAAATAATTGCCTTGCCATTCTTAATTTTTTCTCTCTCTCCTTCCACTTCCTCTTGTTCTTCTTCTTGCTTCCCCATCCACAAATTAATCTCTGTTTTACTTTATTTTACCATCATGACTATTATTCTTGCATCTTAACTCAAAACATTCTTCCGACCACACTATATAGAGTCATTTACAAATGTGTAAAGTCATACAACATGAATTATTTATGAAAATTTCACCACGGCACCAAGGCAGTATGGAAGTGAAGTGAGAGTAGTAAACAACAGGGCATATAAGACTTCTGTGGCTGTGAAGCAGATTCTTCATTTTCCATTGTGTATAGCGTGATACATATTCACAAAAAAAAAGAGCAAGCTATACACACTGCAGACAATCAACCACATCAGAAACAAGGCATAAAAAATAAGAAGAAGTAACTTTGCTTCTGTGAAAGTTTTCATATTTAACAATAATACTGTGCAGCAACAATAACAATGATAATAAAAATATTACAAAAGAATATGAAGACATTTGATCCTTACCGAATCATGTCTGCGGAGATGCTCACTCAGAGAGAAAGTTTCACTTCAATTTGCTTGTACACCTTCTCTACCATTTCAGCTATTTGTGTGCATTAATGTGGACATGTCTTTGGGGGACTGATGAAAAAAATGGGAAATGTTCAGTGACAGATTCAGAAGTTCTTTCTAGGGTCAATTGCAGTTTATTGGTCAAAATATTAAAAATCTTTAAAATTTAAAAATTCTAAAGCCGTTAACTTTCAAAAATTCAAAAATCGGTAAAATTCAAAAGTTCTAAAGCTTTTGACATTCAAAAATCCAAAAACCGTTAAAAATCTCGTTCAAGTCTATTCAAAAATGCACAACCCTCAATCACGCAACCTCATTCCATCCAATCCTATTTGCTTTTATTCTATTCACCTTCCTTATATTAATACGTCAAAAAAAACTTATTTTTTGTTACTTGCTCAAGTTCGTGAGGTGAATAAATAAATGCGACACTTTTTTAATCATCATTTTTTGACTAAATAAAAATAAGAAAACAAAATTTCTGTGTACATTTGTGTCTCGACACTGCTGAATTTTAATATTATGTCTCTTTGTTTCTCGGAAGATTAACAAAACTCGTGTACTGTTTAGAAATGAACAGTGGAAATGTGAACTAATAATACCAAAAAAAAAGTTTTGCAGCACGAAGGATTAAAATTGACTTTCATAACTGGAAATGGATTAAATTTACAAAACATTGAAAGCTTTTACAAATATAAACAGAGGATGTTTAAATTTCCAGTGTTTAGTGCTATACAAAATGAATAGAAAAGATCTCTGAAAACAATAAAATGTGTGACTTTAAAGAGGAAGTTTCTGTTGACATTATGCATGTATACTAATGGATTATTTCCGTTCTGTGGGGAAAATTATTTTTTCATTTCATTAAAATTCGCTTACCCGAGCTGTACAGTACAGCAAATGCCACTTCTCAAATGCCGTTACATAAATATCGCATACAGCACTAAGACTTCCCAACCAAATTCTAAGATTCTGACAGATATTAAAACTAAATTCTAAAGTAATACGTAAGATGTAGCTTCAACTACCTGAGCTATAAGCCAAAAGCGAATGACGTTTGCAGATATTGAAGTATTTATCTTTTGGTATTTCCCATTCCATAAAGTTAGCCTTAAAAATCAAAACAAACAGAAAAACCATATTCTTGCCTCATTTTACTAAAGTTCAGACGACATCCAAGAAGTTGAAGATTTTTTTTCAAAAAAATCGACTAGAATTGTAAGTCTGAATTTACAGCTCAACTTTAAAAGGTTGAATTTCAAAGAATTGTCAACAAATTTCAACAAGATAATTTCTTATTACTCAATTTTACATGATTGAGCTACTCAAAGATTTACATAAGAATTCTGACGTCAAAATATAAAAATTCCCCATGTTCTGGCTTTCAATATTCATGACATGTTTGAAGAAAAATCACTGTTATCGAATAACAAGCTATGTTTTTCGGTCCTTCACGTCACACACACACAAATTGCTTCATTTTTGAGTCTTAACTGACGTATGCCAAGTTTGTTTCTACTGATTCACTTTTGTAAGAAGTTGTTCAATTTGAAGTATAAATAAATCGGAGGAAATCAATAAACAAACCGCAAACAAAATGAAGAATCAACAAATCAGTTCAATTCTTTACGAACGAAAGCCACAAAACAATCAAGATTGAGAAACATTTTTGAGATTCCAATACCAAAATCCCCGATTAATTAATTCTTAAAATCCATTAGAATTTAATTAATCTCATTCGCTCTTTAAATTTCTCAGAGACGTCAATCAAATCTCGTGCTGGATGAATGGAATCTCTCATTTTACATTTGATTAATGCCACAATCCAGCTCTTAAACTTTTAGTAAACAAAAATAGTAATGAATTTACAAAAATAAATGTTTTATGTCTGTAATTTAAAAATAGGATGTTTGGATGTGAACTTAAGTTTTGGATCATTTACTTTTGATTTTGTCATTTCTTAATGGAACTAGAATTTTGATTCTTTCTTTATAAATTAATGTGTAGTCAACTTTTGACACGAAATCAAAAATAATTTGACTTTAAGGAGGTCTTAAATATCAACAGACGTCACTTCCAAACGACCCATCCAGAGAAAGAGATTAAAAGGAACTTTTATGACTCAAAATGTGTAGACCCGTCTAGAGCATTAAAAGAGAGAAAAAGTCCACCTTGAAATTTTTCTACCTAAAGTTTCTTGTCCTCGTTAAGCTCCTCATAAATCAAGATATATATAGCACAACAGAGCTACAAAAGCTCATCAACCCAGGACAACTATTCATTTTTATTTTATTTTATTCATTGATGCTTCACATCACGACACAAAAGTGCTTACCATAAAAAATAAAAATTTACATACACAAGTTACAGCAGAGAGCAACAACAGCAACTCCTCTCTATTGCTCTCTAAAATTCAACACCAATCTACATATACGTGAAAAGATTTTTATTTACACTTGAATTGTGACTGCGGCAACAAAAAAACTTGATACATGCTTAATATTATGAATAAAAAAAGTTCATTCAGTCGACTTTGTGGCGTGCGTGCGGTTAGTTTATTTTAGCTCGTGTTCAGAGTGGTCAAAATATATTTTTTTTATCATCTGCCTGTTCATTTTTTCATCTGTTCCTTCCTCTTCGGGAATAAGTTTCCGAAAAAAAAGAGAATTATTATTTAGTGATAACAACGGGTGAGTTGAAGAACCAAAAAGTTCATTTAAAGCAAAACAAAATGTAAATGCGCGTCATATGTTCATTAACAATTCAGCATGTGTTCTATCAGGCATCAATCAGTCACTGAAATGATTAATTCCATAGGAGCCATCGCATTGTATGCGATTACATGAGATATATGGAAATTCCCTATTGCTTTTGACGCATTGTTTGTGTTGACTTAGCTGTTGCACTTGTTATGGATACCTGAATATTTTTTTTTGTCAGGTTTCCGGCGATGAAGTTTTTTGTTTATAAACATTTTTGCATTTTTTTTGTTGTTGATTTTTGACCTTTCGGCATGTTGTGCTGCTTTCTACATTTTGCAATAAAATATTTCGAGTTAAATTGCTTGATATATAGTTCAGTGCTACTAGGGACGGTTAGGGAGATAATTCTCATTAATTGCTGCTCTTGACTTTTGTGGAATTAAGCTTGAAATGCTGTCAATTTATACTGGATTTCTGAAAAGCTGAAAATGCTCCCATAAAGTAGCTTCAAAGCTATAATTAGATCTGAAAAATTAGCATCAATTTGAAAAAAAAAAATCATGTCGATTTTTCGGCCATTGCCACATAAAAAGCTTTTAATACAAATTGTCACGTATCTCGTCCATATCACGAGATGTTCAATATCCACAAGACTGCAAAACTGGTTCCTTTGGACATGACAGAGAAAGAAGCAAAAAGAAGCACTGCTGAGCAGTCGACGAGAATTCAACTGTTTGTGTCATTTGATTAGGTCTTTCGCTTTGCATTTCCTTCTTCCTTCATTACTCATACTTAAAAGTTGATTATACTGTAAAGAAATTCTCTGTTCCTTTCATAAGATGACGACAATGATGATGATTATGATTATAATTAATACAGAACTGTCGTGTGCTATATAATTTAGAGTTGCAAGAACCTTTTCTGTTGCTATTTATAGAGTACAATGTGCAATTCGTAATGATTCAAGTCGTCTTTATGTGTAATTACTTTACTTTACTTTACAAATAAGCACAAGTGCGACACTTGAATCAACTTCACATAATTTTTGTTGGCACTTGAACTTTTTGATGATTATAATGTTGAACTTCATGAATAATTCAATCACTAATCTATTTTAAATATTTACTCATTGTAAACATACTTTTTGACTCGTTAATTGACAATTTAAAATGTTATTTGTTCAAGTGCTAATTCACAATGCTAATTTTGCGTATGAAATTATTTAATGTTAATTTTATGTAATTTAAATGAATTTATTTCGGTTCGAGGATTTATATTAAGGATTTATTTTCAATTGACGTCCAATGTTTACCTTTACTAATGATGAACTTAAGTTCAAGATCTTAGAACCATTTTCAACTTAATCCTAGACGTGGATTATAGATACAGCCTTCGGTAAACCCGAAAGAATGATAATCTTGTCTTGCACATCATCGATAAACGACTCCCAGTTTGATTAAGCAATAAATTGTATGAATGCTAAATATTCAGGTAGACGTGATAATCAGAAACTATTGGAAATTATGTCCAAACTTATTTGCATACATTGAGTTATTTAAAGTCAATCGATGATGAAATTAACAGTTCAGAAATAACGAATAGCATAAATGGCTTGTTTCAGAAATTAAATAGATACAGTGGGGAATTTTGAATTAGGTACAATAATGTTTTGAATGGAATATCTTGATTATTCAACCTTAGGTCTGATAATGTTCTTATTGGAAACCACTCAAATCAATCATAACATCCAATCTACTACATAAATATAGCAAAATCACTTTCATACTGATAAATTCTGTTCTGTTCCTACAAACCAAAATATAAAAAGATCTTAAACATTTTTGGATTGTAAGATTACAACAAAAGCTTCATTGTAAATCATTTAAGGGTGTAAAACTTTAGTAAATCTAATTAACGAAAGATTACAATGATATGGAAACCTAAAATCTGTTGACAAAATTGTATTTCGGAACATTCTTTGAATTATGAGGGTATTTTGAAATTTATAGATGTCAACATTGATCAAGAAGAAAGGTTTAAAGGAAGTTCTTAGTGAAAATTTCCGCTTTTAGATTGTTTTTCTTTAAGTTGAATTTTTTGGGGTGGGATATGAAATTTCCGTATTAAAACTAGAGTTTGCATTCATTATAGCTTGAAAGGTAGTTTTTTCTTACTGCTTCTCATTTAAGTTAGGCAAGTCAGTCTTCAGATGTCCAAGAAGACATAATCCAGGTTGAGGAACTGATTTAACTAGTTTTGAACCCTTGGATTTCATAATCTCTAATTAGCACCAAATTAGCATTCAAATTACTATCAAAACCCTCAACAGCTATCTTCACCACACTCACTTCAAGTTCCACATAATTGCGGATGTCACTAAAATTGGCTTTTATCTTTCTAACCTCACACTTGACGGTTAAACAGCCTAAAACAATAGACGTCAACTTATAATGTTTAAAATGAAAATTTTAATCTCCTCAAAATTGAATGTTAATGAGATTTTTACATAAACACAATGCTTACAAGAGCACAAGTAGAATCGCTCGAGGACATGAAATTTCCAGCAGAAGACAAAACACTATCATTTTTATTAAATTAGTCAAAACATTGTCTGCTTTAAAGACTATTTAAGCGTACGAAGAGAATCCCATTACGAGTAAATTTAACAGACAAGGCAAGAGAAGAAGCGAGTGTAATAGTTTCCACTTCATGTCATTAATTTAAAGACTATAGAAATGGAAGCGAGAACAAAAGTTCTGTAAAGTGTAAAATAAGAGCTTTTTAATTTAATTTGAAGGAATTCCATTTAAAAAATATTTTACATTTTACACTTTTTAAGCGTTAAGTTATTCTTGCTTTAGGTTTAGGTATGAGAAGACTAAGTGGAATAAATTTTTCACTTTATTGCATTTGAAGCTATTTAATTCTCAACATAAATTTTATTATGTGCAGCTATGCAGTTTAAATTTATAGAGTGCTTAAATCTGCTGACAAAAACCATATTAATAACTGTCCTGGTGCTGATTTGATGACTGTTCTTAGTAGATTTAACCTATTTTTTTGGAAAGATGTGCTTAGGGTTGCAATATGTCCATTTGTAAGATCAAACTACGTTAGTTTTAGCAAATTGCAACTTGAATTGCTTAATTCTCAAAACAAAATAGTAAAGATCTTAATTTATAAGTGATTAAGACTCATTAGCTGCTTTACAAGTAAGATTGTAATCTACTTAAAGTAAACAACTAGATAAGTTTTGATTTTGACAGAGTTGAATGCAACTTCAATGACATTTTATGGACAACCTTCAACTTTAATCAAAAATTAATGAATTCTCGAACTTAATTCTTAAAATTAATAACTTTTCTTTCGCACGAATCAAGCTACAGTTTCACATCACACAGTTTAAACCTTCATTCAAGGATAATTGCAAAAAGATGATAAATTATGAATCAAAATATTTGAACAGCTCTCAATGGTCGATCATTCTTCAGACACAAAATAAACACTTAGCTTGCAAGCTACCAGACAAATCAATTTGACTGTTCATTTAAGTCATAATAATTCCAATTCAGAATGTTCTTCTTATGACCAGTTACATTGCGAGCCATTAATTTTGATGATACAGAGGAAAAAAAATCAAAATTTAAATGGATGAGAAGCAATTTATTTAATGCCTTTTGCTATATCTGATGTGAAATTTAGATGAAGCTCTTCTGAAACTGCAAAAAAAGCAGCAACTATGGGAATTCCCAAAGAGAAGATTTGAGCGCAATTTAATTATGAAATTATTAATTCGAGCGTAAAATTCTTATTATCATCAGCATCAACGTCATTAGTCGTCTTATGATATTTGTTTTAATGATTATGTTAATATTTCACATCTTTATAGCCGAGAGTGAGACGAGTTTTTGTGTCATCAGTGCTGTATGCGCTCAATTATTAATGATTCTTGCTCACTCGTGCCAACAATGTGGGTTTTGAGAACGAAATTTAGGTTTTATGATGAATAAAAAAGTTGTAGTGTAATTCTGTTGACAACATCATCCATTCATAATCATTTTTGATAATCGCCTGCATGGAACAGAAATTTGTGGACTGAGGTCGATAAATTATGATGAAAATTTGTCAACAAATTGTGAAAGAATTATGCAAGTTGTAAAAAATAAGAACTGATTAATGTCAGATCATCAATCAACAATTGTTGGTAAAGAGTTCAGTCATCTATATTGCAATTTTTCCGGGAAAACAAAAACAAGCTTATTTACGTCATTTTCTGTTTTCATTTGCTTTTGCTAGTGATTGTCGACCTAAATGGTTGAATGATTACAGATTAAATGAGTGATTGTCAATGAGTAATTGAAATTTGACCTAATTTTGAATTGTTTTAATGAGTAGATACAAATGGAGCCTCTTTCTTATCATTAGAATCAGCGGATGTTTATGTTAATCGATCTAAATCTATTCAGATCAGTGAAACTCTAAACAATTGATTCTATCCCGAGTGGACAAAGTACTAGTTAAAAGCTTGCCATTGACTTGTCTGCTCATGGCGAGTAAGTTTCCATTGACGTGCCTTCGCAACTAGACTTAGGGACGACTAATGACATATTTAGCGCTTTCCTTTTAACTGGACATAGGAATTGCACTTATGTCTAGTTATTGTCCAGTTACAAAAAAATGGAAATAAAATAAATAACACGTGTCTTTTTCTCCATTTTTTTTTCTTTTGTAAAATTTTATTATTGTATTAGTGCAATTAATTAATTTAAGTACACTCACACTTATGAAAAATCTCTAGTAAACATTAAGTCTCGAACACTCGCGCGTGAAACATTTATGTTCACTTAAAAGTTTCATACAAATTAAGTGAGACCTTATATAAGTGATTTCTGCAAGCGCTTGTGAAGTATATGGTCAAAAAAGTAAGGAAAATTATTTTTGAGTTTCGAGCACTTGATTGATTAGCATGAATGTCCAGTTAAAGTCTAGTAAACGTCTAGTTCTCTATGTCGTTTAAATTTCGGCAAGTTAAAAGACTGTTAAATGATTGTCCAACAATGGACTTTAACTGGCTGTGTCCACCCGGGTATGTTAATCATCTAATCTGAAAAACATGATATGACATATAGCAGATCCATTAAGAAAAAATAGTAACCAAAATGTCTTTTTTGTTTAAGATTACTCTCAACAAAGCAGCACGAGTCGGTTAATCGAATAGAAATCCAATCTGACTTTTTTTACTCAAGCTTAATCAAACATCAGACTTGCAGATCTATATATGATCATATTACTTAATAACATTCACCAAAAACTTTACTTACATAAGTCTAATCATCGATCCTCCTCTTTTTTTGCATCAAACTCTTCCGTCCACAACAGCCAAACCCATAAAACTCCTCATAAATTACATAAATTCATCATAAAGTAATGACTCTATTGTCATGTTTGTAAGATTATGCTGCCAATTGACAAGTTTTGTTGGAAACAATGAGTTAAAAATAGCAGCGCGGAATGAAAGAAAAAGTTTGTTATCAATTCAGATAATAAAAATAAAAATAAAATCCATCATAAATTACACAAGGAATGTTTATAAATGAAAAGAAATTGAAAGTTCACTGCCAAGGCAATAGCTATGATTCATACAAAAACATGCTGTATAACTTTAAATGACAATGAATCTCTCTATTTTGCAGGTGTTTAGCGTTAATGATGAATAGATTTAAATTAATTATCCTATTAATATTGTCAATAATTGCTGATGAGTGCCTCTGTGACAGCACAAAGTTAGTATAACTAATGATCCAATAACAAACAGTTCATATTATAACCTAAAATTATTGATTTATTTCCCAACAGAAATGACAGAACTCAGGAGAATCAAATTAATGAAAATAAGCAGCAATCACAAACATCAACAGTTGACAATAAAACTGAAATAGCAAATCAAATAGCTTTAGGTGTATTAAATTTATCGCAACAACTAACAGCAAAAGTGCTGTCGTCAAGCTCAAATAATTTTGAAGTGATGTCGCCAATTAGTATAGGATCTGCATTGCAGCTTGTACTTCTTGGGGCGAAAGGAAAGACATTTGATGAGATTAGAAATACGTAAGTGATGAAAAAATAATTAAATTTGTGATATTTTTGGAAGGAATGAGAGTCGGAGTCTTCCTTTACATTATATTCTGTCTTGCTCTTGAGAATCTGGGTCCGGAATCTAGGTGTAACCTAGGAGGAGACTATTGATAGCTATACACTCTGTCAATAGTCTCTATACTTTAAAAAAGTTCAGTTACTGAACAACTCCCTCCAAACTTCATTTCTTAATGAACGCCTTATTCCCTACGAACAAAAATAATCTTAACTTGATGTCCTTAAATAAAAATATGCTCCATATGTTACAGCATGAATTATGGTAATTATACATCAAAAGACATCAATGAAGAATTTGCTGAAATTATAAAAGATTTAAAATTAAATTCCGTAAATCCAAAAAGAAAGATTGCAAAGTGGAGAGAGCAGGCAAGTCAGCAATATATAGAACATTCGTTAAGGCGTCAAGATAAAAATGTAAATTACACTCAGCATAAGATTGAAGGTAAATTTAATTTCATTGTGAAAATCTCATTTGAATAAATTTATTATTTTTATTTTACAGTTGCTAATGGAATATTCGTTCAAAGTGATATATCCATTCGACAAGAATATAAGGATGTCGTTGAGAGACTTTATGGAAGCCATATTGAGTCATTGAATTTTAAGAACGAACCTGGAAAGGCATCACAAATTATTAATGCGTAAGTAAACTGTTTGCTTGCCTTCAGTTCTAATTGTCACATCCAAATCATCTTCACTTTCCACAGATGGGTTAGCGAAAATACTCATGGAAGAATCAGCGAGATTGTCCCGAAAGTGATGAATCCAAACACAAAGATTGTTCTTGCTAATGCTCTCTATTTCAAAGCTGAATGGCAGCAGACATTTTTTGAAGGTGCCACGGGAATGAAGCCATTTTATCCACATGGGAGAGGCGGTAAATCAATTACGGTTGATTTGATGGCACAAGGAGGACATTTTCCACATTTTCGTGATGCTGAACTTAATGTGGAAATTTTGGGTTTTCCTTACAAGCAGAATTGCACGACAATGTATGTCATTCTTCCATCAGAATCATCGACAGAGCGTTTAAAGGAAGTCCAAAAGGAATTAACTGCCGAGAAGATTGAGAACTTGATTGATCAAATGACAGTAAAGACAGCAGTAATTCTGTTTCCAAAAATGCACTTAAAGTCTGGCTATCATCTAAGATCAGACTTACAAGATTTGGGCGTCAAGTCGCTATTTGAGGAGAGTGAGAGTGATTTATCTCTAATGTCCAGTGAGAATTGTGCCAAAATGAGGGAAGGATGTGGACATAAAATTACATTTCGTGATCCACTCAGTTCATTTCCAAGAATTAAGCGCGAAGTTACATACAAAGTAGGAAGTGAAGCTAAAGACTCAGCGTATCCATTAAATATGAAAGACTTTTTCAATCGTAAGCGAATCGTCAAAAAAAGTCATGGAAAGAAGTCCAAAAAGACTAAGCGAGAAGTCAAGAGAATGTCAGCGCTTGACCGATTGGAATATTTAAGAAATCAACAGTTAACAAATCCACAGGTGTTTGCAGACGATGTTATACATAAAGTTGATCTTAATATCAATGAGAAAGGAACTGAAGGTAAGAGACTAATTAAATCAGAGGTATTTAGGCAAATTGTGACTGGTTATGATGGGAATTTTTCTATTGGATATAGATTTGTAGCTCATATTTGAACAACCGATTGCCTTTTCTGAGAAAAAAAAATATTATTCAATTAGGTGGATATTAAATTAGGCGATAAATGACTTAAATGATTTGTGTCTTGGGGGAATTTGCTGATTTAATAATTATGAACAGGTTTCATCTTCAATATATCTTAACTTATTTAAAGCAACCAATTTATGAAAAATAATATAATATAAAATATGTTAAGGATGAGACCTGTACCTATTTGTTATTATTTAACATATTTTTTGGCACAAGATTGAGAAATGACAATTTTGAGATGAGACGTGGATAAACAAGAAAATGCTAATTAAATTATAACATCAAGCAGAATAGAATTTCTCAGAGAAATATAGAAATTGAGTTTATTATGGGTAGGAAGTAGTAAAGAACTGTAGATTCTAGATGAGAACATGCTGTTTTTGACATTATCTAGCGGTATTTATACTCAAGATTATCTTCCGATTTCAATTTGTACAGCTCTAATTGCACACTTTGCGAATCACGTTAGAAACCGGTAAACTTCTCGATCTTTGAAAGTAATTTGATATTAAATTTCAAGTCGGACTTTGTTTTGTGCACGGTCAAGGTTAGATCAAATTACATTGTCAAACGACTCAGGGGTGCCATCATATTGTTTATTCTCATGACTGTAGATTGTTAAACTTAATTAATTGGAAGATTAGCTGTGAGAATAAATGGCTGTAATCTCATGACTTGATTGCTGTTTTAATTGTTTCAATACTCACAATCACTTACTTATTTGCAGGCGGTGCATCAACAGCAGTAACACTCAACAGATCCGGAACGAACGTAGTTTTTCGAGTAGATGTGCCATTTATGTTCCTAATCCGTCATGATACAACAAAAATTCCATTATTCTACGGTGTTGTCTTCGAGCCGCCAGCTGCGAATGACTCAAAATAAATTTTAAGAATTTAAAAAAAGGAGAATTTTGTTTTCTTTTTCCTAAAGTGATACTTTTAATTGATTAATATATTTTTAGAGACAAATTCGTGTTTTTTTTATAAATAAAAAATAATTTTTCTACAAAAAATTGGAAATAAAAGAAAAGTGTAAAAATTAAGAAGGAATTTTAGCCATTCAATTTGTATAGTCTTTCATAAATAATTGCTTTGGCAATTTCAAGTTCATTCAATCATTAATTAACAAATATTGATTTTCCTTTCAGTTCTTCTTTTGTCATAGAATTAGAGTGATATGAGGTCTGACCTTGCATATTTACTAATATCGATGGATCTCACTCCTCCTTACTCCTTCCACAACAACAAAGAACTCCATAAGTATTTGGATAGGATAGGGGCCGTTCACTTATTACGTTCGCATTTTAGGGGGGAGGGGGGGTTTGAAAAATTGTAACAAAATGTAACATAGGGGGGGGGGGGGGGTGTCAAGAAGTATGTAACGTTCTAATTGTCGTCTGTCTTTTAAAATACGAAAAAAATTTGTTTACAAATTCACACCAAAAACATTTTCCACCTTTTTAATGATTTATGAAAAATTATCAAAATAAAAAAAATTATGAACGTTCAGGGGGGGGGGGGTGTGTGAGTTGTAACATATTGTAACAGGGGGGGAGGGGGGGGGGGGTAAAAAAAGTCGTTTTTTTGCGTAACGTAATAAGTGAACGGCCCCATAATAGAATTATTGTTATTTATATTTATTACTTTATTGATGTGATATTGAAGAAAAAAACATTTTTATGTCAAAAAATAGGTTTTTCTACTCTTTTCAAGCTTTATGTTTCAAATATCTAATATGTGATTATTTTAAAAATTCTGATTGTACATATAAAATGAACATCATTACAAATGAGGGAAACACTCTTCTTGTTCATATAAAAAAAAATAAGAAGTTTCAAAATCATTCAATTTAAGGATGTGCTGAGCACAGCACTCAAATTTTAGAATTTCAAAAAATTGATTCTTCTTCTTTTAAATTATCAACCATAAAAAAGCCACTGTATACTTCACTTTAAAGAGAAAATTTGGGATGGATTGACTTGAGAGAGATGAATTGTGGAATAAAGCTGTCTTAGTGCGGTGTGAATCAACATTTTTGGTGATTTCCTATGGAATATTGGAACAGATATTTAAAATTATAGAAAATTAGGCCTCAAAAGCATTTCAAAGATGCCTCAAACTTCTTAAAATTAAAGAAAATTCTTACATAAAGCCAGTTTAAGCTTCTTATCAACCAGAAATCAAAAATCCAACTACATTAAGTGATTAAAATTGAAGTATTCTACAACCTTTGATTTACTATATTATGTTTATAACAAAACGTTGATCTACATTGCAAAATTAATTAAAAGCCTCTAAAATGCATTGGCAGGACTATAAGAAATCTTCAAACTCACTGTCAGTGTCCACAACTTCACACATCACAGTCAAATCCACCACATCACAAAACTAAATCATTTCTCTCAGTAATTGATTTAATATTTCTATTAATTAAGGTAGTTTTCATTTAAATATTATAGTTTCTAATTTTTAATTATTTGTCGAAAGGATTCTCTCAGAAAAATATATGCGATTTTTTTGTGTATTTTTAATAAATTTGCAGGAATATTCTTTTCATTTTGACACAATTATTCAAACAACATAAAGATCTTGACAACTTTCATACACACTCTAAATTAACTCATTTTTGTATCCACTTTTCAAAATTGTGTTTGCAAATATTGTGAATTTTATGTTAGTAATACGATGTGTTTAAGGATGTGGAACACATTGGTCGATGAAATCCTTTACATCGCTTATTTCTTGGGGAGTACTTTGATGAGCAAGTCCACGATACCTGGATGGGATTAAAAATCATGAAGTTTAAAGAATGATAGCTTAAAAGATGAATGGAATTATTTTAAATCCTAGGATTAAAAAATATACTAACGTCTTTAACTGAGTGGACTTTAAGAAAGTCTTCAGTATTGAATGACTTAGTTGCCCAAATTTATGATTAACAATCGGATCTGAATCGCCGTGGCACAAAAGTACAGGTAGTGAATCTGGACAGACTTTTGAACCAGGAAATGATGAATGAAGTGGTAGCCATGAAGACAGTCCAATAACACCAGCCAATTTTTCAGGATAAGTAAGTGCCGAATAAATTGCTAATGCACCACCTTGAGAGAATCCACCGAGAATAATTCGATCGGCTGGAATTCCAGATTTAATCTCATTATTAATCATTCCATGAACAGTGCTTGCTGCACTCTTTATTCCTGCTTCATCCTCAGTTCCTCCAAATTCCAATGAACGAATGTCAAACCATGAAGGCATCTGAAATCCTAAATTCAATGTCACCGGCATTGTATTAGCTGTTGGACAGTTGAATTGCATGAATGGTGGACGAATTTCATCAATTAAGGAACTCCACCCATTTCCTGTATCTCCCAAGCCATGCAAAAAGATGATTGAAGCTGTTGCTCTACCATTTCTATGGGATAATAAAGGAAATTATGGATTGCTTTTTTTTGAGCACTTGATTTTCTGTTTATATTGCCTTGAACTGTACTGGTTTGCAGGAAAAAGTACGGAATTGATGTTTTATTGGATTAAAAATATTTTGTAATAGAATTATGTGCTTAAGAACTTCAAGTGGTCTATTAACATAATTCAATTTATTCGCACTGATTTATTGGTCAGTTTTCATGGAAATTCAGTGGAAAAACTTTAAAACAACAACTTCCAGAACTTACAAAAAAATCAATTTTTTTTTCTTTCGTGAAAATTCCCTTCAATTTCATATTTTCTGCTTACCTTGCAACACCGACAACATCTGCAGACTTCCTTATATAGTTTGCAGCCAATGCCATTGTGTAATTTCTAGTCCAAACGAGCTAAATGCAAGAAAATTATTATTTTGTAGGCCTCAGAAATTTCTGTAGAATGAGCAATTTTTTGAATTTTTTATAACCGTTACGCAATTTTATTTTCTATGCCATTAAATAGACTGAAACTTAATGTGTCAGTACGGAATGTTAATTAAAGCTTACATTTCTTTCATTACATTGAATAGCCAAATATTAATAGTAAAACAACCGCTTGAAACTAGCTCGAAATTTCGAAAATTAAAAATTGCGCGAAAATTTGAATTTTTCAGTTATGCAAAAAGCTTCGAACAAGTTTTAAAGAGAAAGTTGCAAAAATCCTCTTTTAATAAACTTTTACGTAACCAAAAGCTTCAATAAATGTATTTTAATAAATATCATAAACACCATACCTGCGAGGTGGTTAAAGGAGCAATAAAAATCACTGTAAAATATGATAAAAACTTCATCGTTAAATGCTTTTGCTTGCACAAAGTACCTTTGAATGACTAAATGTGAGCACCGAAAAGACTTTTAAGAAGGAGAAAGCATGAAACTTGCTAGCAAGAGATAAAACTCGACTATTTATCTTTCTTTCTTTTTGTTTATTAAAGCGTATTGACACTTTTTTTTTCGACAATAAAGTTTCAAAAATTTACACTGACTTACTGTGGATGAATAAGCATTATGGCCGCATCTTTTGCATGGATGACACAAAGGGCAGTAAAGAAGATATGAAAATTTATTTATTTTCAGAAATATCTGCATGCTAATGAAGTTTGCACACTGAATTTTGAGTAATCAAACAAAGGTTGTGCCTTTGGTAGCTGGAATGTCAGATCTTGTCATGTACCTCAAATAATTCCTTTAATTAATGAACTAAAATGCAGTAAATAGAGAATCTGCTTGGGTCTTGTATCTTTTGTGTACGTTTAGAGAAAAAAATTACTTTTATGGATGGATATTGAGTTTAATTCTTTTATCATTTTTCCGATATAAAGCATGCTGTTAGGAAGAACATCAAATCAAGAACATTCACATTCAAAAGTACAAAAAGGATAATATCTGCTATTGACAGTTCCCGTGAACCAGCAGCAGTCGTTTGATAAGTTTTATGAACCTGACCATGTTCAACTGAAAAGTTGCAATTTTCTCTCTCAAAAAATAAGACGTTAAGAAGGGTCATGAAAGAGTTAAATGCATCATTGTCAACTGTCACAAGCAAATGGTCTTTTAAGATTGTGTTTATAATGAAGCAGCATTCAGTTTAAAGTTTATCGACTGTAAAATATGAAAAATTGAATGAATTTATCCACAAGATTAAATGTTTCTGTAAAGTCATTCCACATTGACAGAGCTAAAGTATTGTTGGAAAATTTTCCTTCCAAAGTCAATTTTTCAATAGATGTAATTTGTAAGTTGTATGCTGTAAGGAATGTCCCTACTATAATATCATCAATAATCCAAGTCGACTCTAAAGGATACAGATGTTCTATCCAAAACTTTAATTGTAAACGTGGCAATTAAGATATAAAGTCTTGTAGCTGAACTGAACATCCAGCAATTATAAAATTATTATCCTCTCACGTTCTATCAAATAAAAGAAATGCTTCAATTCCAATTGTGTCGACATCTGGCAATGGTTGTGAAGGAAGAAGAAATGGCAATTTCTATACAAATTGATTCTAAATAAGGGCTTCAATTTTCTTGCTTTAGAAAAACATGACGGAGTCATATTGTGACACATCTCAATTTGAAGCATAAGAATTCCATGTTATTCATATTACAATCACAGTTCAATTTAGATTATTGTGTCAAGATCTTTTTTGGATTTGAAGAAAAAATATCAATATTTGTTACATGCCGTGCCATTTGACACAACTTGTTGATGTAAAATATTCATGAATTCGTGTAAGAATTTTTTGTGTAATAAAATATTCCACATCAAATTAAAAAGGCTGGAAATTCCCAGACAAGTTTGTACTTCTTATTTCTGATTTTTGAACATTCTCTTTTGGGGTTTTAATAGCTATTTAATTTTGGATAAAGAAGTTGAGGCTGAAACGTTTAAAACTAGCAAAAACGTGTTTTTAGCGTAAACTGAGGCAAATTTTAGATTGAAATCCGGAAGACTAGCTTAAAACTAATATTGATTAATCATGCATGTCAATTAACAATGAAACTTTCAGAAATGGCTTTGAATTAGAACTTAGTGAATGTGCAAAGCAATGCAGTTAATGAGGAAATTCTGTTTAATCCCTCCTTCAATTTTGTCCAGAATAAGTCAAACATCCTTAATAGAAATAAAATGTAAAAAATTATAACCTCAAAATTCAATTTCCTACAAGTGCATCCTTTTAAATAAAGCCTGCAAATAATTGATTCCAAAAATGCTCAAAATTTACCTCTGAATATAAAATTCAAGAATTAAACTACTCATGTCTGTTTTACTCATAAAAACTACATTCTACATCTGTTCAATTTCAATCCAATAAAAACTTACATTTCCACCTTTCAGATTCAATGATTAAGTGCAATAAAGCTTCACATTTCATTCGAAGCTTCAGGTACGAACATGAATTATAAAGTAAAATCCAATAATTGAGTTCTGTAAAGTTGATTGCAAAAAGCACTAAAAAATTTATCATTGACTGGTATTGATGATCTCCGGTTTGAGGGATGCAAGTGATTTAATTCTTGATTTTTTTTTTCCTTATAAATCGGAATTTGCAGTTTCTATCCAGTGAGTTTTATTATTTCTTCCATCATTTCCATATCAGCATGAAACTTTCATTCAATTTGAAGTGGTTGAAGTCACTTCCATTCGTCATTCGAACTAATCTGTTGAGCGATTTCAAATCTCGAAGATGCAGATTGCCTCAGTATTAATTTTGTCGATTGTTGTCACATTGAGATGAACGATTCAATGTCATCAGAACAATCGAACCAACTTTTTGTTGTTAAGGAACAATTGAGTTATTGATTTTTTTTTCAACAGTCTTTTCTGGCAAAATGTTGCGAAATTTTTAAGCATTTTTGTCACAAAATGACGTTCAATAAGAACAATAAGTTCTTAAAAATAGCTTTATTGTTATTTTAAAAGATGATGCCTGTTTGTTAAGTATTTGTATACTTATTGCTTTATCTTTTGTGCTAATAAAGATTAATTAAATGGTTTCTGATGCAAATTAACATTGTAATCCACAGAAGTGCTACTTAACAGTCAAGACATCATTTAAGATCACTTTCGCTCTTAATTAATTAGATTGTTTATTGTGCTTAATGCAAAGATGATTTCATCTTAATTAAAATATTCAAATTATCATCAAGTCACGAAACCCAAACACTTTACAAAAGCTCAAAAGCCTCTTAGTTACATGGCACAAAATCTTCGAACTTTTTGCCACTTCAAAACTTTATTCCACAAATCGCAATCATCAACAAATCAAATTCAGATTGCGTAATGTTTAATATAAAAAGGTTAAGTGCCTTGAACTTCATGCTGGTATGACTGCCTCGTGTCTTACATTTATTGCACAACTGTTTTTGTCAATTTATGAGTTAATGTAGGTGTATTTACTGATAAACTTATTCCTATATCATGTTCGACTGTCAGTTACAATGCAAAAGAGTTGATAGACTTGTCAGGCTCAAGTGTATGAAGGAGAAAATTTTACATTACAATTTTATTGTCAAAATGTTGTTTTGAATTATTTTTTTACTGTGCAAATTTCTCAGAAGGACTTACTCGATTCAATTTAGAAAGAAATGCTGAGTTTTTCAATTTGCATAACAATTTGTAATCACTGTGGGCTTGACAGAATTGAATTTCTACTTTTAAAGCAATGCACAGCTGGTTCCTTGCTTGCAATATGTTTTCAAAATGCTGGATCTGAGTTAAAAGTATGAAGAAAGTTTTGGCTATAGTTTGTATTGAAAAAATTAAGCCTTAGATAGATTTAATTATTATTTACCTTGAGCACGAGACCAGTAAATGCTGTTTGTCCTTATATGTCATGATAAATAGTCAAAAATATTACAATTTCTATCTTAGCTGGATTGGCGAGTGACAAAAATGCAAGGACTTAATGATTTAATTTACATCAACTTACAATAAACTGAAAACTTCAAAATTGATGCAAAATTTTGTGAGAACCTCTAAGGGGCCGTTCACTTATTACGTTACGCAAAAAAACGACTTTTTTCACCCCCCTCCCCCCCCCCTCTCCCCCATAAAATGCGAACGTAATAAGTGAACGGCTCCTAATCAGCCTAAGAATCACGAATATTAAAGTCAACAACTTGATGAAAGTCAAGACATGAAGCTTTTCTTTGTTGACAGAAACTAAAGTAAAGCATTTTACTACTTTGTAGTTTGATCTCTTCACAGTTGTTATTCTTATTGTCAAGGACATGCCATTTATATCCATTTCTAGTCTCTTTTTAATGCAAGAGTTTAAGTATTTAATCTACATCAAGTAAAACATCTGATGTACATGACAATAGTTACAAGGGATGCTTTATCATACTGTGTAGAGGAATTGGAATATGTAGCAGTCATGTCGTGTGTTTCACTGTCTTGAGCACGTATCAAAACATTAACGGTGTTGAAGGAACTTTCTATAGAGCACTTGACATTAAAATCGCTGAGCTATTCATATAAAATTTTCATGAAATCGACACTAGCTGCCAATCTATGTCACAATAGATGACTATAATGATTTTATAGACAAAGACATGAGTCTTTAATTGTTTTAAGATCATCTCGATTTAGGAATTTTGAATTTAATTATAGGAAGTGCTACATACGACATGCAATTTATAATTTGTAGATTAGCTTAAAACTAAGCAGGGCATCACGATATGTGAATTCCGTTTTCAATACAAAAGCATGCATGAATCATTTCCATATCACGTTTGTTACGACACTCGGTGCTTTGACAGTTTATCAACCTAAAATTTTTGAATCATAGCTCAAAATATAAACAAAAGTTGTGCGAAAATCCAGCACATGGTAATGATACATCTGCCGAAAACAAGTTATTGTGTCTATTTAGCTTGAATGACTAGCCCATAAGCTAGGTTCGTAATTATAACTGTTCAACACATGTAAAGATGTTTTATAAAAAAGATTTTTAAGACTCTTCATAACGTTGAACTCAGATTTTGGATTAAAAAGATTTTGCTCTTTTAATACTGCGGTTCCGTTTTGAATTAAGTATTTTATTCGATGCTTGATCTCTTCTTAATGAGTTTAACAATAAAAAAAAGCGATGTATCAAGAGAATCTGCAATTTAAAGGCAGCGTATATTGTTCTTTCTGCTTCATTAGATGTTTTTTAGTTCTTAGAATCTTCAGTTCCAAATCTTCATTAATAGAAAATATTTTCAATCACATTCCTCAACCCATACTTTAATAAAGTCACAAAATCCCTTTAAAGACAACATAACAATCATAATCATGCTGATGAATAAAGCCATCGTATCCAAATCATCCCAGTTCCGTCGTAAATGCATTCCGAGAGTCGTAACAATTATCATAAAAATATGCCATAAAAATACGCTCAAGCTTCCTATCCAAAAAATCTTTGAAGCTCTTTACGTACAAAATATTTGCGAAAGTCTCGCCTCTTTTATCATTATTATGTTATGAAGGTTGTTTTCAAAAAGTTGTGATGAAAATTCCATCAATATCATCAAATTCATGACACATCTCATCTGAGAGTAAATATTCAGCACCACATTCGTTCTCTGCTCATTTTTATGCGTTTCATCTCTTCTGTAAATATTTGGTCGTTCGCAAATGATGGCCTCAAACCATTAAATCATTTCCGGTTAAAAAAATTAATTTGAAATCTATGTAGGTCAGGTAAAGATCTCCTCCATATTCCAATTCAATGCTAGACGTCATTGATCAACAACCCCTAAGCAGGACAAATTTTTAAAACAAATTCATGACTCAAATAAGTAATCAATAAAAAAATGTAAAGAAATACACACACCAGAAGTGAGTATATTTTCAAGGTAGCTAGCTTGACAGAGATTTGTCTGAAGTATTCATTATTTTTACAGTACCTCCTTTCAATAAAATGTAATTTCTGCAGACATTTCATAATAATTTAATATTTAAAGAAAGTGAAAATAAAAAGAAGTTTGGCAATTCCACAAAAAGTTGGAAATAAATTTTTGAGTTTTCCGCAAGAAGTCAGAAGATATTTAATTAATACGAAAGTGTAAAGTAATTAGCTTTAAATCCAACTTTAATTTGTTTTATTAATGGCACACATAGTAATGTACTGTAAATATAGTATTAATCTTAACCTTGATCTTTGAAGGCTTACAAACAGATTGCTGCAATCCATCGGATTTTTCGCTACCTAGTTTTGCGAAATTGTGCATTCTATTTGAAAGAGTAAAGGTGATATTGCGTTGTAATGATGTGCTGTTATAACGCATTTAAAAGGAATGCAATTTATTTTGCATGGAAGACACGTTGAAGTTACATAAATGCTCAAAACTGCAATGATATTGCAAGTTACAACATTGTTAAGGTAATGTCAAATGAGCTTTGATTTAATGAGAGACAATAATATACTAGGAATCCTCGTTTTGATGATGCATTGCCATTCAGAGTTTTGATTTACAGTTGACAATTTTTAAAAAAATTTTTCCACCTCAACTTTTTACTCGTCAATTTTTACCTGATTTCATGTTAGGTTAATCTTTAAATGATTACAAAGTGTAGAATAAATGTGAGCAAAACATTTAACATCTAATTCTTCTAGTTCATAAGCTTAGATGAGCCAAAAACTTTAAATTGTAATATTTTTAATTGCCAAAACTGTCTGTAAACAAAATTCAAAAGAAAATATGGGAAAATTTATAAAAATGCAAAATTTAACGTCTTGAATCCTATCCAAAAGAATAAGTTTACAATTTACTTACTTACATTGGAAGTATTTTCAACAAAAGTACAAAGTAACCCACCAAACAATATTTGATTCCGCTCTATAAACTGAATTAAAAACGAAACTCATCAACGAATGTGAGAATGCACTCTTAACTTATGCAATTCTTGTATTTCCTATTTATTAATACATATTGTAACGAGACAAAAGCTTTACTCATTTTATTTATTTCTCTCATTCTCATCGATGTTCACACCGTGCAGTCATCTTCGTAGGCTAAGATGATTATAATAATTTTTATGATGATTATAATAAGCTTTAAAAGTGAAATTAATACCGTAATTTTGGATAAGTGAATGTTTATGTTTCATAAGAAACTCAGTTTCGTAAAATTCGAAGAATTAAAATCTTTCATGCTATAAATAATTTTTTGTTGTAAGTTTTTTGAGTCAAAAAAGCAGCTTACGTGCATGTATTTTATATGTCAATTATATAATTTTGGAGCATGGTTTGAGGCAAAATTCTAGAGAAATAGAGCTTACTGTAATTTTATTCCAGTTGTTACTGAACAAATTACTTTAGATAGTGCAAGCTATTCCAACAGACTACGGTGTGCCCATAAGAGCAAACCCATCAAATGACCAACTTAATTAAAATTAATTTTTCTTAAAATAGTGTAAAAGTAAAAAAAAGAGAATCGATTGAGAAAAGAGAACCAGCACACATCAACAGGTTGTAAAACGTGAGCGAAGCCACTGCCGAAAAAGAAAAAAAAAATCGAAAGACTATTTTCATTTTAATAATATTCAAGATATTGTAGACTGTTATTCGCTCAGTCTCAATTATCGTTTAGTTCATTTTCAGACGTCGTGTCGATCGTGCAGAAAAAATATTAAATCTCTTTAATTTTTCATCAGCCGTTGCGCGTCTATAGAGTTAAGAAGAAATCAGTTAATACCAAAAAAAAATATATTTTTTCTCTTACATGTTAATTCAAAAAAATATTCATCGATCGTCACAAATGTGAAAGTACATAAGTGTATATTAAAAGTATATAGGTATTGCCATTGTCTTTTTGTTGTGAAAATCATTAATGTGCGTACATATTGAGTTCAATAAGAAAATTAAAGAAATGAAGAAGAAGAAGTTGCAGTGAAAAAATTGTTTACATTGATTCAAAGTTATGCAATAGTGGTCAATTTTTTTTTTGTTGCTGTCTGTTGAAAGTTATTTTTTTTTTCATGTATGTGCTGCGTGACCTTCTTTCATCTCACTCATCATACCTACCATGTATTGACCTCCTCTTTTTATTAACACACCACCTGCTTAATTCCATTTAATTTCTTCAAAAAAAAAAATTATTTCGATTTCAAATTTCAATTTCATTTTTATATAAAAAAAATTGTTGTTGCTGGATACACGCTGCAGCTACATGATGAATTCTAGAAAGTGAAAATTTCTCTCTCTTTTTTTTCTCTTTCTGTGTGACTCCGTTACATGTTCCAATCCGGTATTGAGTATTTGTTGTAAAAAGAATATGCAAGCAGTGATGTAGTCGGGGGATTGATAGCTTTAGCTTCCAGACGGAACTTCTCCTCAGATGAGAATTGACACTCATCGTGAAACTTCATGAAAATTTGCAAATTTCTCAAAATTTAATACTTTAGACCAAAAACCTTTTAAAAATGAGGAACCTAGTCTAGTTCAAATATGTGACTTAAGCTCAATCACCCAACCCCCTCGGCCACTCCACAACATACCATACACTAAAAAATTCCATTTCACATACCACAAATATACCTAAAAGCTTGTGCTAATGATCATAGAAACAATCTAGTGATGAAAATACCAAGAAGATGTCACAAAGTTCCACTTGACAATAAAATCTATGTATGAAAGATAAAGAAACTCCGCTAAATATGAAAACTAGTTTTAATACCAACATGCACATACATGTGAAGTCTCGTCATTAACACGCATTATGAGAGAGTTAGAAGAAGAAGAAGCAAAAAAAGAAAGAAAATATTTTTTGTTATTCAGATTCCCGGATTACATATTGCGAATCACAATGAGATTGTGACTTTAAATTACAATGACTCTGCATAATTGAATTGTTTGTCGCATTGTGACTTTTGGAATGACCATAAACACTTCCGATTGTTGTCAATGGCTTGAAAGACTTGCGATTGAGTTATTCTGTTAAAAGTTGTGACTTTTTTGACATCGACATCAAGCTTTTTATGATAGGGAGCGTTTTGGAGGGTTTTATGTGAAGGATGTGGTTTTTTTTATGGCGATTTATAACATGAGATGCTCGGCTGTAGTAAAAATATGTTTTTATGGACCATGAATCATACGAAGAAAAGTCCTAAGTTGTTGTAGGTTATTTTATGAAGCTGATTCATCTTCCAAAGTTTTGACCAAAACCAGGATAGATTTCAACTTGTCTCGAGATGTTAAAAATTGAAATTAAAGTTGATTTTGAGATTGTTGAAATAATTTCCTTATTTCTTATTAATTGATAAAAAATTCAGGAATCCAATTTTCAATTTCAATTCATTTCTAAACCTTTTTTTAAAAACATCGAGAATATCAAATCAACTCGAGAAAAATCGATTTATTCTCTTCAGCAAGAACTCCGTATCAAACCTCAATTAACTTTAATTGACCAATTTACAATTTTTTTCATAGATTCAAAGCACAAAAAAATACCCTAAAATTAATTTTGTGTTAAGTTATTTAACAGATGGACAGAAAAAAACTTAACTTCGATTAATTGCTTTCTGAAACATGAAATAATATAATTGCCATTTGAGTCATTTACGCAAATTTTGTGAAAATTAAAAGACAAATATAAAAAAAAAATAATTTTAATTAAAATGTGGTGCAAGTAAGCAAACAAATGAAAAAAAAATTAAAATTCCCATGAAGCATTTACATAAAAAAGTTTGACCACAAAAAAATTGAACAGTGCCTCATTATTTCTGTGTCATTTCATGTGTATATGTGTGTTATGAAGTGTCTTCATATGTGAAAAAGAAATATAAAAAAAAATAAACAAAAAAAAATAATTTAATTTATTGTTGTGACATTTTTGTGTGTGCATTCCACAGAGGGAGACATAAGGCAACAACGAATATAAAACCACCAGAAAAAGTTAAATCCAATCAACAGACATGCATTCTGTGGAGGTGCGTGGTGCTTATAAGTACTATGGAAAGCCAAAAGATCCGAAAATCATCTTAAATCGATTAAATATGACTGTCGCGCCAGGTTCCATGTAAGTTTTATCTCGGGATTTTTATAGGCAAAAATTGTTGAGTCATTGAAGATACGGATGTTAATGGTTGCTGCAATCTGAATATGATAAGTTTTTAAATAAATAGTCGGTAGCTATTGAGAACAGGGGAGGAGGTAGGAAATGATTATTGGGGTAAATCTAATAGTGAAGCCTTAAAATCTAAACTAAGTAATACACCTGTAAAATAATATAAGAATTCCTCGATTTTCATAATTTTCAGAATTGCTAATTGACCATGCAAGACTTCCAAGACCTCCTCAACCCCATTAAACTTGAAAAATAATTCTGAATCTCAATCAGGAGATCCCCTGACTGCACCTCTCATTCAGATTGTTTTTCAAGCTTAAGATTCAACCTTCCAATCTCCTTAAGTGCCTAAAAGCTTCCTTTTTGATTCTGCGATTAAATTTTCTACAAGGTTATTTTTTCAATTTGTTCTAATGATCCGCAAAATTAAAAGGATTTTAAGAATTTCTGTGCTATAAACTTTTTATAAAGTTTAATGCATTAGCTATTTATGGCATCTTACTAAAATCAGATCAAACTCAAAAACAAACAGCTCATTAGTTTAATTAACTGCGGAACCTCATAAATCAATACAGAGCAAAATTGGAGGTGAATCAAGTCATGAAAATAATTTAGCCAGTCATCTGCAAAACTTCCCATTTGCCTTTACGTTCGTTTACCTTAAGATTGCTTAAAATCATGATGATTCTTAAGTTTTTTTTTATTGGATGGACGGAATTGCCATAAAAAGATGTCACGTGATCAAATAAAAAAAGTTGATTTGCTGAATATTCTGCTTAAGAATGTTTCGTGATGATTATTGTGATAATATTTATTTAACAAAAACGTGCTGAGCTTGGAAATGTCTTTTTTTGGGTATGAAAAAAAATCCGGTTTTAAGGGAATCCAGACTTTTTGCTTGTGGATTTTGGGATTTTTTTTGCAATCAAATTATTTGAAATGTTAACAAAAATGTAAACGTTGACTCTTTTGACACCAAGCTAGTCACATATACCAAATAGTACTTGTTCTCATATTATAAGCTAATTCGACATCATGTGCCGCTTCTTAGCTTCTCTCAATTATTCTCAAAAACCGGAATTCAAACACATTTTGTCTGGTTGATCCATTAATAAATATTTTATTGACTATTCATTTGACTTTTCAATGCAGAGTCAAGGAAACAAAAATGTGACTGTAAAGGAAACTGCAGATTTTGCAAAGCTAAGAAATCTGGCGCCATAAAAAACAAATCTGCATAAAGTTTTAGTTTTCTTTATCATTTAAATGAATCCAAAAATTGATAGAAAGTTGCAATTCTCTCAAAATATCTTTAAGTTACGTGAGCTGAGTTTCGGTTTTAACTGCTTAATATTTGCAAAAGTATCTTTTATTGAAAAATGTCAAGATGCAGTCGAGAGTTGCTTATTAATCATAGAGAAAAATATTCAAAGGTTTAGTAAAATATTCACTGATTTTGGGATTTATTTATAAATGCTGGCCCTTAAAACTTGGGTTTCCTACCTTAACAGCTTGGTTTGATATTAGAATACGCTAATGTTTGACTTCAAAGCCCTCTAGCTAAGTACTTGGAGGTTATAAAAGAATAACTTCCAGAAATTCTCATAATTGACCTTTTAAGTTCTGAATAGATGTGAATATGCAATAAGTAATTAATTTAAAAAAACAATAAAGCTCAAAAATATTTCATTGAAATTTTATTGATCATAAACAAAAGATTGCATCAATATTAAAATCTCAGTTCCTTTGCTCACGCACAATACAATGTGTAATGTTAAAGTTACTAAGCAAATGTTATCTTCACCTTCGAAATTTTCTATTTTACTATTTATTCATTGAATTATTTCCAATACCTTTATAGATATGGCTTGATGGGCGCGTCAGGTTAGTGTTACAATCAATGGCAACATTAAATGATGATAGATGTTTCACGTTCAATTTATTGTCATTTTTTTTTGCATAACAAAAAAATAATTTTTTCGATAATTTTAAATAAACGAAATCAATCAATTTAGGTTGCGGCAAGACGACATTACTTTCATGTATAATCGGCATGATACCATTAGATGGAGGTGAAATTACCGCATTAGGACATAAGACTCAGGCAAATGAGATACAAAAAGCAGGACACAGAATTGGTTACATGCCACAAGAGACAGCTTTAATTGGAGAGCTTACGATCAAGGAGACTATTTATTATTTCGGTAAAATATTTCAAATGGACTTTGAGAAATTAAGAGAGAGGTATGACATGTTACATAAACTACTTGAGTTACCACGTGGAGATCAGAGAGTTGAGGAATGTTCAGGTGGACAAATGAGGAGAGTTTCATTTGCAGCTGCTTTGATTCATGAACCTGACTTATTGATTCTTGATGAGCCTACAGTAAGTTCCTATTCTCTTTACATTTTAACTTTTTTTTTTAAATTTGAATATTTTCGTTAACAACTTTTTTAAAAGTTAAAACTTGTAAAATTTTAAGTTTCTTTCAATATTTTAAGCCATGAAACAAATCACTCAATAATTTAAGGTTTAATATGCGAAGTTAAGCGCGATTCAGCTTACATAATTGATTTTAGAGCTTAAAAATTGAATTATAAAGGTTTTTATAAATTTTAAAAATGACGACAGAACTTATTAAGTTAAATTCAAATTAAATTTAGCCGTTAATTGGCAAAATCTATAAAAATTACTTAACATTCAGTAAAAATGAACAAATACTCAAGAAATACGGAAATACCAACACTCTACAATCTACTTAAAAACCTCTGACTGAAATCCACATTTCCAAACTATCCATAGGTCGGTCTAGATCCAATATTGAGAGAAAAGATATGGGACTTTATGTTGCACGTAACACGAACAAGCAAACTTGCAATAATCATCACAACACATTACATAGATGAAGCAAAGCAGGCAGATCGATGTGGGTTGATGCGGAATGGAATTCTTCTAGCCGAAGATACGCCACTTAACATTATAAGTCGTCACGAGGTTGATAACCTTGAGGAAGCATTCTTAAAACTTTGCATGAAGCGTGGATCTGAAGATGCTGTTGACACTGACATAGTAAACGGACATCAATGTAGTGAATTACAGATGGATAATTTAGAGTTGCAGGAGCGAACAGCAAATCACATGAATGGAAATGACAAGAAAATTGTGCCTTTAGCAAATAACAATAATAATATTCAGAACCATAACCATAATAATTGTGCCACTAGTCAAGAGCAAGAACAACCAATTCCACCACAACAGTCAATAGCTCAAGTATTCAAGCGTAAAAAATATACTTGGTCAACGCTTCAAGCGCTCTTTACAAAAAATTATTTGCAAATGAAAAGGCAACCTGCGTAAGTATCTATTGAGATTTAAGGGGGGACACAACATGATGGGAAATTTTCACAATTTTTTTTTCAAAACTTTGGTGGCAAATTGGAAGTTTCACATCATGGTGGAAAATTTAAAATAAATTTTTTCCCCACCATGTTGGTACCCCCCTCGTTTAAGTGACGTAACATGAAATAATTTCTTAACTTTTTTACCCAAGTTTGGGTTTATAAGAAATTTATTTGATCTTTGTTATTATTTCCAGTGGTGTAGCATTCATGAGCATAGTGCCGATTTTACAAATTGTATTTTTTTACATGGCAATCGGTGGAAATCCCATTGGACTTAAATTCGGCGTAGTAGATGATGAAGTTAACTATAATGATTGCTTTAATACATCTCTAATAACAACGATAGCACATGAAGATACCTGCGATTTACACAAAGTCTCATGTCGATTTATACAGGAATTTCAAGATAATGTGGCAATTAAGCAGCATTATAATACCTTTGATGAGGCATTTGCGGATGCAAAAAAAGGAAAGATTATTGGATTTTTATATTTTGCTAAGAACTTTACAGAGTCATTAGATACGGTCCAGAGAGTAGGTAGAGATGCTGATGATGGATCAGCTGACAACAGTCGAATTGACATCTACATGGACCACTCTGATCTTCAATTGACATTCTTCCTGCAGTCGAAATTCTATCAAATGTACAAGAACTTTACACAGCACATGATGTCGGACTGTAATTTGCCAAAGAAATTAGGAAATATTCCTGTCAATTTTGAACAGCCAATTTACGGCAGCTATGATACAGACTTCAAACACTCAATGGCACCGCCAATGGTAAATATTAAGTCATTAATCGATGAATTAATTTTTTAGCGGATATTTTCATGATTTTGGAGTTGAAATATTTGCTTAAGTTTTTTGGAAGCTAGTTTGCTTGATTTGTAGCTTTGCATACTTTTGACAAATTGTGATACTCTCACAGGCTTTATAGTTTTTTTAACAGCGGGTTGGGGGACGGGTTCTTTTTTTTCTATTTCAATGACGGCATTCACGAATGATCCCTGAAAATATTCAAACTATTTGCACATTTCAATCAAAAACTTTTTTTACATTTTAATTTATTTTTATGTATTTTTAATTAAATTAATACTTGATTAATGCTTTGCTACACGCTAATTGCGTAACTCATTAATTATATCCAATACTAATTTATTTTATTTTTTTAGATCATGGTCATGATGTTCTACATTGCAGCTGGTTTAACTGTTGCTATTTTCATTGCTGATCGAAAGGAAGGCTTCTGGAATCGAACACTATTAGCTGGCGTTACCCTCAAAGAACTTATGCTTGTCCACATCCTCACACACTCAACTGTCTTAATCATTCAACTTGTTGAGACAATTTTCCTCATTGCTTTCGTGTTTGGTGCTGAAAATAAAGGAAGTAATATTGGTGTCATATTCTTGCTAATGATGCTTGCGTACTCGGGAATGTTTTTCGGAATGCTGTTATCTGTTGAATGCAATGATCTCAGAGAAGCAAATTTCGTACTGACAGGCATTGCCACTCCAATGGTTGTACTTGCTGGTGAGTTATCGATGCACACGCAAACCAAATTTTAATTTTATTTTATGTATGAATGGCATGTTAAGTAGCTTATGTTGAGTATTTCTAATGAATTCTATAACACGTGTTGTAATGAAAATTGGAATCAAAATAATAATTATAATTAGGAAGACCAATACAAACCAGTCGATTGAGTATGACAATTAATTACATCGTAAATTTTATCATCATGAAAATACGACAATGAGAAATTAACAGGTTTTGAATGATCCGGACGCAAGCATTGCTTATTTTATTTAAATAACAGTCAACAAGTTCGTCTCATTGACTACATTTTATGGCTCGTAATTTTTATTTCTGTAACTTCTAATAGCAAATCGTAGACTTTTTTTTTAATTTTGCAGTACTGTGCTTTTTGTTATCTAATTGTGGTTTATATGCACAAAAAAAACATAATATGATGCAAAAAAAATTTTGTTTATAGCTTTTTAACAATAACAACAGCAACGGTAGTAAAGGTGTTGTGTAAATAAGCGACACTGCACGGGAAATTCATTTCGTTACTAATGAATTTAACTGAAATCAATCTAATTATTATGGTGAAATTGGACTTCATTATCACAAGTAGCTTTGCACCATTTTACAGTCATTGGACTAATTGAAATAATGATTGGCATTTATTGAGTTGAAATCTATTTTGAAAATGGTGTTTTTGAGAATTGAGAAAGATTTCTTAGAATAGTGACGAATGAAGTCTTAAATCTTCAATAATTTGCTAAGCATAACCTTAGCTGGATCACATTTTAAATCCACATTAAAATTCAAATTTCTATTCATTATTCAACTTTTAAAAATTCATAAATTCAAATCTGAATTTTAAAGTTTAAAACATATTTAAAATAAAATTCAAAATCATAAAATTTAATGAGCTTAGAATCAACTTATCTTAATGCCTCCTGAAATAATACTAATTAAGGCACAGATAATTGCTACCTTTTTACATACAATAATAATAGTTAAAGCAATTTCACTTTGAATAATTCATCTAGTTGCACTTTTACGTTTAATTTTCTAAGCAGTTAGACAAGCTTTAAAAATATATAATTAAAGTAAATTGAATTAGTTTCATTAATTTCCGCATAAGCAAGCTTGAATGTCTGCATTCATTTTTTGACACATTTATTATTTTTTTATTTTTATTCCAGGTATGTTTTGGCCACTTCAAGGCATGCCAGTATTTCTGCAGTATGTTTCTTATTGTATGCCATTTACATTGCCTTCGATATCTGTAAGAAATATTATGATGAAAGGCTACTCGTTCTTCCATCCGACAGTATTGACTGGTGCTGTTATTGTGACTGCTTGGGCATTCTTTGCTGTATTTTTAGGGTTACAAGGTTTAAAAAGGAAAAAGTATAGTCGAAATACATAAATTAAGGTGCTTTTTTTTTAATTTGTAAAATATTCCTTACTTAATTTTTTAATTATTTTTTTTATTTTGTACCTTTGTACTTTTTATTTTGTAAATTTGTATCTGATATTAAAGCTTAATGTTATCTTGAAGATGGAACGAGAAAGTTTTTATGAATTTTTTTTTAATGATTTTAAATTGATTTCAGAAAAAGCAAATTTTGGATTAATTTTGTAAATCATGGATGTGTTGCTGGCTGATCAACTAGCTTGAGTTGACTCCAAAGTTAACATTTTCAGCCTACGCTGGATGTTCGCCTGTGTTCTATTCAAATTTATGTTATTCGACTTAGAGAAATTCAAGGATTTTACACTTGCTTTATAATCATTGGCAATCTTCATAAAAGCCAAAACCTTCTAAAGTGTTAAATTTTGTAAAATGTGAGATTGTGTTTACGATTGTCTGTCTAACTTTATATTTAAGGGGCCGTTCACTTATGACGTCCGACATTTAGGGGGGGGGGGGGAGGACTAGGAATTTGTGACAGTTCAAAAAATGGAAATTTTTTTCTATAGAATTTTTGTGACAGAGGGGGGGAGGGGGGTCTGAAAATCAGGTTTTTTGATGGACGTCATAAGTGAACGACCCTTAATGAGCATTTGATTTTTTCAAGCTGGGGTAAGGGGGGCTGATTTTTGTGCACCAATAGTATTAGCAAATAAGTTAAGATAAGGAAGGCTTGTCCTTTTTCTTAAAATCTTAAAAAAATTTCGGAACGGATGTCAAATAATTAATTTTGAATCAAATGACTTTTGACACATGACATTGCTTATACGGTCAAATGGCTTGATAGATTGATTATAATTAATATAATAATATGTTATTTTAAGAATGATTCGCACGAGAATGTCTGACAGCACGACATGGATTGCTAAAGGGTAAACTTGAAAATGTTTTTGGACTTGAAGTTGATTTCAATAAGTTTTGAGGAAAACCCACAGAACATCTTTAAATTTTCTTAAAATCCCGTAGCTGTTTTAATTGAATTTATAAGGTTTCATTTGAATTTATGATCTAATGATAGTTCTGTCTATCTTTACCATTTGAATGCTGTTAATAATTCTGATTGTGGATATGGCTCGAAGAGCATTTCTGTAGCAGATCGGCCAGAGAATAGGGCTCGTTTTGAAACTGGTTATATGTTTATGACGGATAACTAGGGTTACCATCTAATTTTTATGAAAATACAGGACTTTTGGTAAAATTTTTCGAAAAATACAGGACATAGAGTAAAATTCGAAAATTAACGGAAATTTTCGTGAAAAAAATACAGGACCTGGAACAAAGTTTTCAAATTTATACAGGACAGGGTTTTGAAATACAGGACTGTCCGTTGTAAAACTACGCAGATGGTCACCCTACGGATAACCGAAGTGAGATAAGTACCTCGGTGGTCGAGTCACAGTGATCTCTGATCGAGTGGTCAGAGATCGCTTCTTTTAAAGTCGTTGGTTTCTATTCCCATCGAACCCGAGTATACACAAATGGCAGTTATAGGGAGATCTACACTGATAAAGTGAACTAGATTAACAGTCGCGACTGCAGTCTACAACTTCATGTTATAGTAAAAAACCGTAAAAACCACAAATAAACTCAAATTATTAAACTTTCTAGCAATTTTTCAGAGTAATTTTCTCTCAATAGCTTTCTACTATGCTGTCTTAACATCAATAATTGTTAAAAGATCACAAAGTTATTTCCCCTGGTTGTTTACTCACTGTAGCACATGTTTACTTTTGAATTTGTATTTCACTCATACCTCAACAGTTCCAAACAATGAAGGAGAAACAGCTGATCAATACGAAGATGAAATGACAAAGATGGAAATACTTCATGCATAACTAACACAAATAATTCATAATAGTCGAGATTGCCAAAAAAAACCAGTTTCTTCTCTTTTCTTCTCACACATTTTTTTTTTGGAGAAGCGAAGAACTTGCGTTTATTGTGATCCAAATTAAGTCCCATCATGCTCAGTTCTTTTCGCGAGTCGTTAGAGGAAACATCATAAGCAAGACGAGATAGCTTTAATTTTCTTTTTTCGGTGACATAAAACTGCAACTATCTCATTATCTTTTTTAATAACTTTAAATGTGAAAGCAGCAGACTGTGGAAATAAATTTTTGTAAGCTTATTGTTCTTCATGTAATTGTTAACAAAAGAAATTACAAATTATGCTTTAGCATAAGAGTGAAATTAAGTGCTTCTTGTGGATTACTGTGAAACTATAGTTTTTCGGATAAATTCAATCGACTTGACCTACATTTAAGCTTATAATCAAATGATTTTTCAAAGACGTCAAGTCTATGATATGCAAATTTGGGCTCGTCTGAATTTTTTGAGCATTTATAATCGCAAATTTTACAACTTTTTTTGCGTTGCTGAAGAAGAAGATGGATGTAACAATGGTTGACGGGTTTGTTTGAGTCAAGGTTCATGTAATTTGTCAAGAATATTGACATCACAGCAGTACTTAATGTCTATATTAAGTAATCTTGTTAGCACGGAGCAAATGAATGTCAATTAGCAGCACTAGACAATTCAATTTTTAGTTAAAAGTGGCTTTTGAGTCGACATTTATTAAGTAATTCTAAAAATTTACTTCAGAACAAATCATATTTTACTTCTTTGAACTTTATTTTAAGTGCCAGTAAATTCTTTAAATCTTTAAAAGCAGGTTTATTATTCATAACTCTTCTATAGCAGGTTGCAATTAACTTTGCATATTTTTGAATAATTTCTGGTTCTCAGCTTGTGCCATTAGCAATAAATTCACTATTTATCTTCTGAAATTTTAAGCGCATATTTCGAATCTTACAACTTCCTTAAACTTAACGTTATTTTGAGATCGATTTGATGTAAGCTTGATGTTTAGTTCACAATCACATTCATGACAATTACGTCAATATCAACTTGAAAGTGTCAACTGTTATATTTGATTGCTAATTGTCCATAAGGTACATTTTGACACAAATAGAATGCATCATCAAGTCATTCTTATATTTTAGAATAAACAGCTTAAAAAGATGACTTTACTAAATTATAAAGAATACAATATCATGTAGGTAGGTGTGGATCTTTCCCCATAAACAAGTCAAAGATCTTAAATTTCACATTATTTTCCTTAAAAATTTGGTTTTTCTGAAATTTAAGCACTGTCATGGTTCTTATATCCAAAATTGAAATTGTTTATTGTTTGGAAATTCCAAAGTTCCCACTCCTAAATAAATCTATAAAGAACAAGTCAGGGAATTTCTGATTAATTGTAAGGATAATAATTTTATTAAATGTTAAACAAAAAGAATCAAAATCAATTGTTAAATGGTTGCGATTGTTTTTGGTCTGCAAAAAGCTGCTTGTAGAATTAACAGATCGTTGTTTCGTTCAGCTGTACTTAAGAATACTTGCTAAGAATCTTACGTCTGTCAAAAATCAGACATATTTTTCAATATTCTTATTCTTAATATTAAGCAGTTGTTTGGGTTTATTGTTATTGTGTCTTGTATCGACATTTAGATACTTTGATCGAATACATGCTGGAATATTTGATTATTGTTATTATTGAATACTTTGATCTAGAACTAGAAACTAGTCCATGTGTAGATGTAAAATTGAGTATCGTGTAACATTATTAGTAAGATTAGATGACAATTGAACAATAGCAGCATACAGGAACCCTACTTTTGCAGTTCCAATTCAATTTCATGGCTTATTCCTGATAAAAAATTATTTAAAGCTGGATTTAATAGGTCTTAAATATCAATAATATCAAGTAATTTAATCTTTTGCATGTCAAGATCACCATCAAAATTGTGTCAGTCAGAAGAACTAGACTAGAAGCCTCCACAAAAACTTTCATTCGCCTAAATCAATTAGCAAATATTTTTCACACATTATATTGCAACATATCATATTTGCTTTAATTTAAAATCAAATAATAAGAACAGTAAATCCACATGCTTGCATATCAAATCACAGAGCAATTTCAATTATTTCCAAATCTTAACAAATATTTTTATTTCATCAGAAAATGAATATCGTCGAGGTACGAAATGCTTATAAATTTTATGGAAAGAAGAAAAGCGATCATAGGACTGTCCTCAATCAACTTAACTTGACAGTTTCACCAGGGTCAATCTATGGATTGATGGGTGCTTCTGGTAAGCTTTTTTCGCACATTTTTTCACAAATAAAAAAATTCATTGATAATCGAAAATATTTTATGCAAAAAAAAAATTCAAGGTTGTGGCAAAACAACACTTTTGTCGTGTATAATCGGCATGATACCTCTGGAATCTGGTAGAATTGATGTTTTTGGAAAAGAGATAACACATTTTTCACTCCAAAAAAATGGAAAGAGAATTGGGTACATGCCACAAGAAATGGCATTAGTCAGTGACTTGACAGTTAAGGAAACTATTTATTATTTTGGAAAAATCTTTCAAATGGACTCTGATAAACTTAGAGACCGGTATGATATGCTGCATAAATTACTTGAGTTACCGCCTGGAGATCAACTTATTCAAGAATGTTCAGGTGGACAACAAAGGAGGGTTTCATTCGCATCTTCAATGATTCATGATCCAGAGTTGTTAATCCTCGATGAACCGACTGTAAGTTAAGAATATCCCTTAATTGCATCCTTAAATCTATTAATCACGTTTCCTATTCATTTTAGGTTGGCCTAGATCCAATTCTAAGAGAAAAGATTTGGAATTTCATTTTAAACATCACAAGAACAAGCAAGCTAGCAATCATCATTACAACACATTACATTGAAGAAGCTAGACTAGCTGATCGAATTGGTTTGATGAGAAATGGAATTTTACTAGCTGAAGATTCACCCTCAAACGTAATGAATCGCATGAATGTTGATAATCTTGAGGAAGCATTTCTGCGATTATGTTTAAGGAAAGGAGTTTCTGATGAAGTCGAAGACAACACACAAGAAATCATAATCGAAGATAACAAGAATAACAATAATGAGCTTGAAATGCAACAAACAATAACTCACAGAAACTTAAAAGACGACAAAATTGATAATCATAAGAAAGACGATGATGAGGAAGATTCTAATATGAGATGGAGATGGCAAATTATATATGCAATGATAATTAAAAATATTCTACAGATTAAACGACAGCCTGTGTGAGTATGAAATCTATTAGAATTAAGTTATGATGATTAGGTACTTTTGATTCCACACGATTATCGTTTATAAGTTGATATCCAGTTTGATCATCAGCTGAAAAAAATGTGCGAAAAAATCGCGAACAAAATAGAATCAAGTTCGACTAGACAACATGAGTTTTGCGTCTGCAAAGTAAATAAATATTGATCTTAGCTTCACGGCACACTTATGTATCGTCTTTATGTCCATCGCAAATTGTGTGTCGGCAGATGTGTCAAATTTGCATATCTTGTAGATAACTTACTGATAGGATAAAAGTGCCATTCACCAAAATATTTTCGCAATTCCGGTTTGACGTTGCCGTAAAACTGTTTTAAATTTTTTGTGCTTGTTGATTCATTGAACTGTTTTGTTTTTATCAAGAACATGTTGCACGTAACTGAAAAACGGTTCATTTCTTTTGGATATTCAGCTCTTTAAATCGACTAAGAATGCATTCTCGGAAATCTTGAACACCCACTTTTTGGTGTATGCTTTATTGTTGCAACAATAAATAACACAATTCACTTATCTATTTTTTAGAGCTATCGTATACTTGATGTTCCTTCCAATCCTGCAACTTTATTTAATTCGTTACTCAATCGGTCGAAATCCAGAAGGCTTAAAAATTGGAATTGTTGATGATGAAATTCTAAATCACCAAGAATGTCAAGTCCCAGGACTAGTTAATGCATATGCAGAGGGATATACATGTGAGGTGAACTTAATATCATGTAGATTTTTGGAAAAACTCACAGATGATGTGGGAGAGAAAGTCTTTTATACAGCATTTGATGATGCATTTCGTGACGCTAAACTTGGAAAGCTTTCAGCAATCATTTATTTTGATGCTAATTTTACAGAATCATATGATGAAATTAAAAGATATCCAGATGAAGCTGGTCCGCAGACGTGGAAGAATAGTGTGATTAAAGTCTACATGGATCAAACGGATTTACAGATACAGACTTTCCTTCAGCGAAGACTTTATGATGTTTATAAAAGCTACTCGGAAAGTATTCTGTCTGATTGTAGGCTGCCGACAAATTTAGAAGGCATTCCGATAGTTTTTGAGGAACCTATTTTTGGGTCACTAAAATCAGACTTTCAGCCATCAATGGTTCCAGCATTCGTAATTCTTTCATTATTCAACGTTACAGCAAGTCTTACAGTTGCTGCATTTGTTGCCGAACGTAAGGAAGGATTTTGGAATCGAACTTTACTTGCTGGTGTCTCAACGGTTGAAATGATGGCTTCACATATTGCAATCAATTTAGCTGTTCAATTACTTCAAATAACTGAAATGATGATTATGGTTTATATCTATTATGACTCGCATCATTATGGATCTTATGGCCTTATAGTCATACTTCTCTTGCTTGTAGGAATATCTGGATTATTCTTTGGTGTTTACATATCATGTATATGCACAGAAATAATGCAGTCACATATTTTATTACTTGGAATTACGCAACCTATAACTGTATTATCTGGAATGTTTTGGCCTGTCGAAGGAATGCCTTTGGTTTTAAAGATAATTTCTCTAATTACGCCAACAACATATCCAGGCATATCATTACTCAACATTATTCAGAAAGGTTATACACTTGCTGATAGCTCAGTATTTTTGGGATTCATTGTCTCTTCATCGTGGGTAATCTTATTAAGTTATTTTGGCTTAAGAACTTTAAGGAAGAAAAAGTTCAGTAGAAATACATAAAATTTACATTTGAATAAAGTTTTTATCATTATTATATTTTTAAATGCCTCTTTTATTCCTAATGGCAATTATATTGCATACATACATACATCGCTGGCTTTACAGATGAATTGTGATCCATAGCGTCCCTTAGATGGTGTCTGAAAAAGACGACTTTTTCTGCCAATCGTCAATACCAAATGCTATGCAATCTCTGACAACAGCTTTCTTCCAGGCAATTATATTAGACTTCCTATTTCCAGCGTATGAGTTTAGGGCTCGTTCACTTATTACGTAACGCAAAAAAACGAGTTTTTAGACCCCCTCCCCCCCCCCCCCCCTGTAACAAAGCGTAACAAAATCTTAGACCCCCCTCCCCCCCCAATAACGTAGCAATAATTTTTTTCATTTAAATTGTTTATCAAATGTTTATTATACTTCCTTTAACATTTAAAATTAATATAGAAAAAATTATAAAAAAATATATTTTTTGAAAAGTTACGTAACAAAATTTAGACCCCCCCTCCCCCTGTAACAAACCGTAACAAAATCTTAGACCCCCCCTCCCCCCTAGTGCGTTACGTAATAAGTGAACGAACCCTTAAAACTAAGAGTTGCTGCTTAATCTTCAACTGTTTTTCCACTTTAATCAAATTCACCACAAAACGTGTCTTTTTCTCTCATTGAACTCTCTCACGTTTGGTGAGTATCTCTTGACAGCATAAACAACAACTCAAAAAGCTCTGAAAAATGCCGGCAAGAGAGTCATTGAGAGAAACCTAAACAGTGAGCATAAGTCGCAAAAAATAAGCTTAAAGTTGCTGAAGAAAAACTGAGCTTTTATATGTCAATGATCAGATGGATGAAAAAAAGTAAATTTAGTCTTCTGTCAAATTTCTGTGCGATCGGTTGACTCGATATAAAAGTGACTAGTTGTGTTGTGGTAAATTGACTACAATTAAAAATTATTTAAAAATCATTCAGCAACAAAGAAGAGAATTGACGTTAATTAACTCTTCTGGATTAACTTTTGTGTTTGGCTTCATTAATTAAAGTAGCTTGTTGTACTGAAATTATAAAGAAATAAGGATAAAAGTGATCGATGATTTTATGGAATTACTGTTCAGGTTTTTATGCAATAATATTTAAGACAATAGGAAGTTTATGATTAATTGTGAATGTGACAATGAGTTTTAATCCTTTTTTCAATGAGCATTTTAATTCTGGGTAAATTTTGTTGGACTTTAAGATGGCAGATGATGCTATAATGTGAATATCATGTAGATATTGATTTGTCATGTGAAAAAGCAGAAAATACTAGAGATTAGTTTACTTTCAAGATCTGGAAAATTTAATGGACGAAAATTGATTATGAAACTTTTGATTGTTTCTTCTATGTCAGTGTTGTCCAAACTGTGTGCCGTGACACACTGGTGTGCCGTAGAACTTCCTTAGGTGTGCCGTGTAAAAATAGCTAAAGTCAAAAGTGCCGTGGCTGAAAAAAGTTTGGGCAACACTGCTCAATCTAGTCCAATAAAAAACTCCTCAAACCTAAACTTTAGCTTCATCAAAACCTTTTGTTTTCAATTGAATTCACATTCTTAAGCAAGTGCACACATCGTTTCTACCTTTTCATGTTGCGCAATGTCGTAATTTTTGCTATTATTTATACAAACAATTATTTTTCATGTTTGCAAGTATGCGGCTACTCAAACAGTAAACAAAATATTATATTTTTTTGGCAAATGCATTTCCGGAAATTTCGCAGACTGAAAATATAATTTTTGTTAATTATCTTCAGATGATTTGAGAAATATTTGAGCAAAATTGGTGAAAAATAAATGCCGAGTTGAAAAAAAAAATTACCGGAACTTAATAAAAGTCGTAATCAGTGACTGACTGATATTTATTTCCTCTTTCACGAACCATTACCTTCGAAAATATTTAAATAATTATTTGGATATAAATGTCAATTGCTTTAAAAGCTTGATGCTTGTTAAATCATGATAAAGTAAAGTTAAATGAGGGAGATTAGCGTTTATTTAAATCATTTTGTGATGTATGCAGTGTGGAAACAAGCTTCTCGGTAAACAAAATTTCGATTTGAATTATTTTAAGTCCAACAAAGAAGAATTTGAAATTGTCTAATAATTAAACTTTGATATTGAGCTACGTCAATAAGATTTATTGTGGGATTTTGTTGACACTTGCCAAAAATTTACATATTTTTTTATTAATGTTAATCTCATACGTAAGTCAATGAGTTGACAATTTCTGCATTTTTTTTGGGATAAAAAGGAATATGACAATTCAATTATGTAGCTTTTTTAAAAGTTCTAAAGTATTTTGTTGAATTTTTGGAAGTTTTTTTTCTAGAAGATTCAGTTTTATTTACGGAAACTCTTCTGAACATTGTAGTTTTCATTAAATCTATGCTTCTCATGTTCAAAGACATAAAAATCATCGAAATCAAATCCACACAATTTTAATACACCAAGGTAAACAGCTGAAGTAACTGATAGGATTCACACAACATAATATTATTTTGGCTATCATAAAATTGACAACAAAATGATAAAACGAGAATAAGTTGTCATATTTATATTGGCTGTATTCTATTGATAGCTGGTTATATTATCCACTTTTCTGTTTGTCATGCACAGAATAGTTAAGTTCAATACTTTATCCGAAAACATTTAGGAATCATGTAAATATCAAAATTTCAAAAGCCGCGCTATAGTCACGTCCAAAAAATAAGTCTCCGGATTTCAACATTGATCTTAATTGATTTGGTAGCTTCGGAAAAATGTTGCAGCTTTAATTAGCAAGTTTTGTCAATTTGCACAAAGACCAAATATTTCATCTAGTTAGATAACTTGACATTGAGAGTTTGTTCTGTTGTCGTCTTTAAAATTGCCGCTGCATGCAATGTAAAAGAATGCTTCATGTGTTCCAAGGCAAACTAATGAACTCTTTTTAAGCACTTGAGTATTTTCTGAACGTAGAAAAAATGAACATTAGATCGTAATAAGTAGTAACACGATTAAGCACACATCTAAAATATTAACGATCTTATTTCTAGAAGCTGTTGAACTTTTATGAATGCAACTGCCAGTATTTGCATTGACATAGAAACAGTTTTAACTTCTAAGCAGTAAATGACCAGTTTGGCCTTTGAATTTTTTCTTATTTCACTTTTTTCTACTCAGAAATTTTAATATATGAAGCATGTGAGCATTGGTGCTAATTTGTTACACTTATATCCAACTTTGTTTATGTGAATTTCGCTAATTCAAATGTTCAGTTTCATTTCGTATTACCAAATGTTTAATAATTATACAAATGGATAGACCTTCAATAAATAACAATAAAATTATTTTCCAATATCTAACATGGGTTGTGCTACGCAACGCAGTGAGATTAACTGTTCAAGATTTTATTGAGTTTTCATGAGTTTAAATTAGTGAGTAGCAATAAAAGTCTTTCAAGTGGATTTTGGCAGTGCAGTGATAATTTTTAATGGATCTTTATGGATAATTTGCTTGTTAAGATTTATTACTGATTTTTGAGAATATTAATTTGAAGTTTATTAAGCATTAGAAATGAGAAATTGCTGGAAACTTAATTCAAGCTTAAAACTTGATATCATAGAGGCCGGTTGCTGCTTTAAAGTATAAACATCCTAAAAAATTGCAAAAATAGTAAATTTTGATCAGAAATGAGACACTCAACCAATCTCAATAATACTCAAAATAAATATTGTAATGTCTTCAGCGTGTCCAAAATTACAGGCATTAAATAATATCTCAAAAAACATTATCTAATCCATACTTCAGTGATGCATTTATTGACCTTTTAAAAAGTTCGTTGGCCAGAAGCATCGTTTATCTCTCTTTCATCTGCTATACTCACTTCAGAAATTTTTTTTGGTGTCGAATTAAAAAAAAATTGTGTCAAATATGCAAAAATGTTGCGTAATGGTCTTTTTTTCTCAAATGTATAGTCAGGTTACTATATTCGGATATTTGATATGAATCTCGTGAATATTTTTTTGTTCAATCGCATGACTTTTTGTTGAAGAAATGAGAGAATGGAATTTTTGGAGTAAAATTTTTGATGTTTGATTCATTTTGCAGTTGATTTGATTTTATTTCTTATTATGAGCAGATTTTTAGTGTCTATGACTTGCAAAACAGGTTGCTATCGATTTTATGACTTATTAATTTATGATTCAACGATATATTCTAGGATAGAAAAAAAAACCTTTACCTATTCAGATCAATTGTGATCTAGGGCGATTCGCAGCTAATGAGAGTTTAACGAGTGAGGATGCGCCAAACCACTGCACTCAAAACTAGACCTACAATTTATAGTGGGATTCGAACCACTTCTTTGATGACATTTCTGTCTGTAGCCTACAAAGGAAGCCTGTGAGCCTCATTTCCAGTACATATGATTCGAAAAAGGACAAGTGAAAAATTTCTCATACCCAGTCTCGAACCTGTGTCGGTATTGCAATAATTAGCCCACAATTGTCTTAATAAATTTGCAAAACTGCTTAGCTTACTTACAGTGCTAATTTGCTCTAATCCTTTAAAGAATCAAAGTAATTAACCATTCAATTTAATGGATCAGAAGTGAATTAAGATATTTTTAATCTTTTTACGGATCACAGTATCAATTAGTGACGGTTTATTGAATGATTAAAGGCACCTACATGTTGAATACTTGAAAAATATTCTAATTAAGATGTTTTTGAATTTTGAAGGATATACTATTAAGAGAATCAATGAATTATGATATTACAGACGTCATCAAAGAGCTGGTTTCAAAAAAATGTTTGATTTCATATCCAATTGAGAACTAAATTAGCTCAAAAATTTGCTATGCTTGTTGGAAATTTCATAAGAAAATTTCATCACTTAATTAAATTAATAAAATTGTTTACAGCTGTTAGCTTTATTGTTTATTGATGCAATCTTTGGATTACGTCCATAGTGCTCGGTTTTTTGCACAAAAAAGATTAATAAGCAAGCCATAAAAACCCAAAAAATTTA